CAGCTGCCCTGAGCAGTTCCTTAGCGTTGGGTTCATACTGGGAGAGCCTCTTCAACTTCTCCGTCAGTTCCTCCTCCAGACGCCTGCGAGCTCGCTTCTCCTTCTTCAGCTTGCGTAGGTAGAGCACTGTGGGAGAGACGAGGGAGGGTGTTATTGATCCCACTGTGGGAGAGATGAGGAAGGTGTTATTGATCCCACCCTGGGAAAGACGAGGGAGGGTGTTATTGATCCCACTGTGGGAGAGAAGAGGGAGGGTGTTATTGGTCCCACTGTGGGAGGGAGTAGGGGGGTCATTAGTGACCCCACTGTGGGAAAGACTGTGGGAGAGTCATTAATAACCACACTGTGGGTGGGGAGACAGTAGGAGGGACGCTAGTCAGCACGCTGTGGGTGGGGAGACAGTAGAGGGCACTAGTCAGCACGCTGTGGTGTGGGGAGACAGTAGAAGGGTCACTAGTCAGCACGCTGTGGTGGGGAGACAGTAGGAGGGTCACTAGTCAGCACGCTGTGGGTGGGGAGACAGTAGGAGGGACACTAGTCAGCACGCTGTGGGTGGGGAGACAGTAGGAGGGTCACTAGTCAGCACGCTGTGGGTGGGGAGACAGTAGGAGGGACACTAGTCAGCACGCTGTGGGTGGGGAGACAGTAGGAGGGACACTAGTCAGCACGCTGTGGGTGGGGAGACAGTAGGGGACACTAGTCAGCACGCTGTGGGTGGGGAGACAGTAGGAGGACACTAGTCAGCACCCCTGTGGGTGGGGAGGGACAGTAGAGGGTCATATCAGCACGCTGTGGTGGGGAGACACTAGGAGGGACACTAGTCAGCACGCTGTGGGTGGGGAGACAGTAGGAGGGACACTAGTCAGCACGCTGTGGGTGGGGAGACAGTAGGAGGGACACTAGTCAGCACGTGTGGGTGGGGAGACAGTAGGAGGGACACTAGTCAGCACGCTGTGGGGGGGGAGACAGTAGGAGGGACACTAGTCAGCACGTTGTGGGTGGGGGAGACAGTAGGAGGGACACTAATCAGCACGCTGTGGGTGGGGAGACAGTAGAAGGGTCACTAGTCAGCACGCTGTGGGTGGGGAGACAGTAGAGGGACACTAGTCAGCACGCTGTGGGTGGGGAGACAGTAGGAGGGACACTAGTCAGCACGCTGTGGGTGGAACAGTAGGAGGTCACTAGTCAGCACGCTGTGGGTGGGGAGACGTAACAACAATAGCAGCATCGTGGGTGACGATGACCAGTAGAAGGACACTATCAGCACGCTGTGGGTAGACGTAGGAGGACAACACACAACGAACAAAAGCGTAACCATTAGTAGACGCTGTGTGGTGAGGAACAGTGAGGACACTAGTCGCACGTGTGGAGGAGACAGTAGGAGTGGACACTAGTCACACCTGTGGTTGGGAGACCAGTAGAGGGACACTAGTCAGCACCTTGGGTGGGAGACAGTAGGAGGGTCACTAGTCCAGCACGCTTGGTGGAGACTAACAAAAATCGCAGAAAACGTACGCAAGTGACAACCTTGGACGATAAAAGAAACTAATCAAGTGATAACTGGAACAACAACACAAAAATAACGTAACCATTATAATGTTGTCAGCAAACAGGACAAGTGTTCCTCTCATGATTATATGATGACCCGCAGCTGGAGCTTTTGGTCATCTGACTGAGGACTTCCACTGGCTTACTAATCCACCTCTTTGAAAATCGTGGTTATGATTATAACCACTAGGAGTAATGATAATAAACGTAACCATTAATAACTCGTAATGAAAGAAAACGTAATCAGAGTGACAACTAGTAATGAAAAAAAAAAAAAAAACGTACCCACAGTGATTCAACATATCGTAAAACGTAACTCAAAGCGACAACTGGAAACAAAAGAAAACGTAACTCAAGGGATAACTCACTCTTGACCTTCTCGTCCTCGACCAGCTGCTTCTCCAGTCTCTCCCTCATTTCCTTCTGTCGCTGGAACTCCAGCTGGAGGTGCTCTGCCGGGGTACACCAGAGGAAACAACTTCTTAGTCAAGCACTGCACCAACTTCACCTTCACGCCCACTTAAGCACATTCAAAACAACCACTTAAGTTTCAACAGTATGCATAAAAATAAGTGAACTAGTGTTATTTCGTGTAGAAACACACAAGTGATCATAAATTTCGCTCTTAAGTGCATTTTATGGGGAAAACTGAGCAAATTCTAATTCTGAGTTAATTTACATTTATTTACAACGTAAGAATTTGCTTTCATAACCAAATATTTACAATAACTATTTTTGTATTAATGTTGGTAGAATTATCGACAATATGTTAGGTAAAAGGACACAAGTGCAACTAATGTGATATTTTATTGTGGCAATGTTTCGCTCTCCAGGAGCTTTATCAAACAGGCTTGACAAAGCTCCTGGAGAGCGAAACGTTGCCACATTAAAATGTCACATTAGCTGCACTTGTGTCCTTTTACCTTAATTTATTTCTATAATATGGAGTACAGTAAATAGCTAACTTTATTTCTATAAAGTGGAGTACATTATACACTTGACACTGGAGAAAATACGTAAAAAATAAACACGTTATAGACCTTCCCCTCCCCCTCCCTATCCCTTCCATCTTAGGCAGAGCATTTCGGGCAGCCTTAAATTTGTAAACAATGACTAAAAAAAAAAAAAAAAAAACAGTTAAGCCTAGGAAGGATGAATTATTGGAAAGGATGTGACGCAACTGAGTATTGAAATCGTAGCAGTGCAGTTAGACCGTGTTCGTTCCTGATACATGTATATGCTCAGACACTTGACCGAGATGCTGGGGATCCCTGTGTGATGACAAGCCAGGGATGGTCGAAGTATGAGTCGATGTCGGTATTGGTGCTGTCTGTTATTACAAATTTCTTCATCCTGTTTTCTGCTGCATTCTCATTTGCTTCCTTTTCTCGCCTTCACCATCCACTCCCCCAGCTATCTCACCTCTCCCTTCCACTTCCCCTACTTTCTCACTTCCCCCTTCTACTCCCCCTATTTTCTCACTTCCCCCTTCTACTTCCCCTACTTTCTCACCTCCCCTTCTATCCCCGTACTTTCTCACCTCCCCCTTCCACTTCCTCTTCTAGCCTTCGTCGCTTTCGCTGCTCAGTCATTTTGTCACCTTGTCTGTCTACCTTCTTCCCCACAATTCTCTGTCCACTTATTTAATACTCTCCCTAATCCACTTCTTCGCTTACCCTTCTATCTGATCCATTTCTCCACTTACCCTTTTCTCTGATCCACTTACCCTTCTCCCTGATCCACTTACCCTTCTCCCTGATCCACTTACCCTTCTCCTTGATCCACTTACCCTTCTCCCTGATCCACTTACCCTTCTCCCTGATCCACTTACCCTTCTCTCTGATCCACTGCTTCTCCTCGTGCCTCACACTCTCTGCTGCCACCTTCAGGAGATTCTGAATATTTCCCAGGAGGTTTTCCAGGGAGGAGAGGGGCGGGTGGTGCGGTGTGGGCGTGGGAACCTCCGGTCCGCCCATGCTCAGGCCTGCCAACCCACTCAAACCTGTGTAGTACAGCATAGGTTTTAAACGTTACACCTCTCACACTCTCCTGTCTTAACCTAGATAAAAACATGGGATGTCAAAATATTTTTTTCTCTGTGCTGAAGGCCTGGTCACACACCGGGCCGTGGGGGCGTTGACCCCCGAAACCCTCTCCAGGTATACTCCAGGTATACTACTACTATCTGTTACTAATATTACTATTATTACTAGTGCTACTGTAACTAAAGTGTAATGAGCACTTCTCAATGCTCAGTAATAACCCACATAGGGTAATGTAATTAGTAGTATTACCAGTACTGTTGCTAGTACTATTACTAGTATTGTATTACTAGTACTATTGCTAATACTCTTACTAGTGTTGTATAATCATTACTGTTATTACTACTGCTAGAAATATTGATATTTCTAGAAATATTACTATTGCTAGTGCTATTATTGTTAGTATTACTATAACTACTACTACTATTACTAGTATTAGCAATACAACTACTACTATTGCTAGTATTACTAGCAATAATACTACTATTATTGCTAGTATTACTATTACTATTGTTATTACTTGTATATCTACTACTAATACTACCACTACTACACTTGTATTCTTTTACTTTAGTTATATGTATTGCACTGAATTATTCAGTGCAAGAAGTGCTGGAAGCTCGATCCCCCGTTTAATAATCACGACATAGACGCACAATACTAATCTGCGCTTCCCTGCGTAACACAAATAACCCGCACATAAAAGAGAGAAGCTTACGACGACGTTTCGGTCCGACTTGTGTATCGTTCCAGTCACGGTATTGTGCCTTTTTTTGTTATTCCCTGCGTAAGTCAGAGAGTTGCCTAGCTGATGACTCTTACAAGTGTGTAAGTACAAGGTTCAGTGTCCTGGAAAGAGTTAAGTTGAGGGAAATACCTGACTTGGGTAAAACAATTGACTTGAGGTATCAACTTATTACACTGAAGGGAAAACTGGTGGCAACGAGAGGTAATAATAACTTTGATTCCAGCAATTGAAACAAGAGCCCTTCACCCTTACTCCCACCCCCTTTCCTTACCCGCTTCGACAGACGAGAAAAACCAAAACCAAAATAACAGAAATTGCATGATGTACCTGGAGGTAGACGGTCATCCGCTACGGGAATGAGAGCGGAGCTTTGAGAGGTGGTGGGTGTGGCGACACTGCTGCTGCTACTGCTGCTGCTACTGGTGGCTCCGGAGAGCAAGGTGCTCATCCCGCCGCTCAGACCGCCCACGCCGCCCACACCGCCGCCGGAGGTGGTGCTGCTGTTGTTGTTGTTGGCGGTGGAGGTGAGGTTGTTGTTGTTGTAGTGTAGCGAGGGGCGGTCCTGGTAGTCGAAGTCATCCCGGTCGCTCAGATCTGTTGGTGCAGAACCAGGAGCCTCAGGGGAAGCAAGGATGGTGATACACGATATGATAAATGGTTTGAAACACCGACAAGATGAAGATTGAGACCCTTATGCAACATATGGGAATCTTCACTGAGGAAACGGTTCGCCACACAGTGGCTTCATCAGTCCAATACAAAGCAGAAAGGTGTAAGAAGAGGAGGAGTTTGAGGTAATCAGTCCCTCAGCCTGGAGTCAATGCGCTCAGTCCATCAGTCTTGTAGAATGTACAGCATAGGGCGTAGGGCCATGAAGCTTATAGCCTCACCTGACTACAGTATATAAGCCACGTCTACGGCACTATGCTGTACATTCTACAAGATTGATGGAGTGAACACATCGACTCCAGGCTGAGAGACTGATTACCTCAAACTCCTCCTCTCCTTACGCCTTTCTGCTTTGTATTGGACTGATGAAGCCACTGTGTGGCGAACCGTTCTCTCAGTGAAGATTCCCATATGTTGCATATGTGTCTCGATACACGATATGAAGAAAACACAGAAGTAAAAGTAGGAGCATAAGGAGAAGCAAAAACAGAGAGCGATAAACAAACAGAAAGTTTAGGAGGAGAAGCAAAAAAATAGTGAGCAGTAGCAAAATAGGGAGCAGTAGCAAAATAGTGAGCAGTAGCAAAATAGTGAGCAGTAGCAAAATAGTGAGCAGTAGCAAAATAGGGAGCAGTAGCAAAATAGTGAGCAGTAGCAAAATAGGGAGCAGTAGCAAAATAGTGAGCAGTAGCAAAATAGTGAGCAGTAGCAAAATAGTGAGCAGTAGCAAAATAGGGAGCATAGCAAAATAGGGAGCAGTAGCAAAATAGGGAGCAGTAGCAAAATAGGGAGTTAAAGCAAGAGAGGGAGAAGCAGCAAAATAAGAAACTAGAAAGAATAATAAGATGTAAAGCTATTTGCACTATTTATCCCGAATAAATATCCCAGGATAACCCAAGAAATCCAAGCCATGTGATTTATTTCTCTTACGCTCCTTGAAACCCCTCTCTCGGGATGCAAACAAGAACGATAGACTACTTCCTAGATGTCTACTAATTGCTAAAATTTTTGATGTTGCTGCAGCCCTGCCCGTCAACTTAAATTGGAAAAAGGTTATGACGCGGGTAATGAAAGAATTCCTTGGTCCTTCAGTATGGAAAGACAAGCTAGGGATCAAGAAGGGATCGAGTTGCCTCTGCCGTTGGTGGGCAAACAGATGAAGGGAAGGTTTTAAGTGAACTGTGGAGGATTAGGCAATAGTAAGTGTACCTCCCAGTGGTATATTTTATGGAACGAGACACATTTTGAACACTTTCCTATTATTTCTGAAAAGTTTCGCCTACACAGTAGGCTTCTTCAGTCGAATGCAGAAGTGAGTAAAACTGTAGACAGCACAAGGAAATGGAGAGGTAAATATGATTGGATCAATGCACTAGCCTTCAAGTATTGTAGTAGTTTTGAGGTGGTCAGTCCCTAAGCCCTGGGAAACGCTCAGCTCCATGTCAGTATTGTACACCATCATTATAAAGGTAGATTTTGAATTCTCATTTATCGTAGTCGTGCAACAGATTACTGTATTAACCCCCCATGTAACATATTTCCCATCCAGGAACCTTGTGTGTACGTGAAAGAATTGTATATTACCATAATAGTGTAATACTTGTGTCCCTCGTATATATTTAAGAACATAAGAACATAAGAACGAAGGAACACTGCAGAAGGCCTACTGGCCCATGCGAGGCAGGTCCAAGTCTCCTACCGGCTTAAGCCAATGCACCCAACCTAGTCAGGTCAGGTCACATTGACTTAAGGGAGGAACACGGCAACCGACCTGGTAGCACAAGCTATCAGGTCTAACTCACACCCACCCACATCCACTCATGTATTTATCCAACCTATTTTTAAAGCTACACAACGTTCTGGCCTCTATAACGGTACTTGGGAGTTTGTTCCACTCATCCACAACTCTATTACCAAACCAGTACTTTCCTATATCCTTCCTGAATCTGAAATTTTCCAACTTAAAACCATTGCTGCGAGTCCTGTCTAGGCTAGATATTTTCAGCACACTATTTACATCCCCTTTATTTTATTCCTGTCTTCCATTTATACACCTCAATCATATCCCCCCTAATTTCTACGTCTTTCTAGAGAGTGCAGATTCAGGGCCCTTAGTCTATCCTCATAGGGAAGGTTTCTGATACATGGGATCAACTTTGTCATCCTCCTTTGTACATTTTCCAGAGAATTTATATCCATTCTGTAATAAGGTGACCAAAAACTGTGCAGCATAATCTAAATGAGGCCTAACCAAGGATGTATAGAGTTGAAGAACAACCTGAGACTCCTATTATTTATGCTTCTTGATATGAAGCCAAGGATTCTATAGCTTTATTGCGAACACTTATGCACTGTTGTCTTGGTTTCAGATTACTGCTAACCAGAACTCCTAAATCTTTTTCGCAATCCGTAATATTAAGATCTACATTATTTAGTTTATATGTGGCATGGTTATTGTCCTGTCCACATTTAGAACTTTGCATTTGTCTATATTAAACTGCATCTGCCACTTCTCCGACCACTGCATCAGTCTATTCAAATCTTCCTGGAGTGCTCGAATGTCCTCGTCAGAATGAATTCGACGGCCTATTTTGGTGTCATCGGCAAACTTGCTGATGTCGCTCTTTATGCCCTCATCTATGTCGTTTATGTAGATTGTGAACAGCAGGGGGCCCAACACTGACCCCTGTGGAACACCGCTCGTGACACTTCCCCACTCTGATTTCTCCCATTTATGCAAACTCTCTGCTGCCTATTTGTCAACCATGCCTCTATCCAGGAAAAAATTTCTCCTCCTATTCCATGTGCTTTAATTTTCCTCAATAGTCTCTGATGTGGGACCCTGTCAAAAGCCTTACTGAAGTCCATATACACAATATCATATTCATTACCATGATCTACCTCCTCAAATACCTTAGTGAAAAAAGTTAATAAATTCGTAAGGCAGGAACGCCCCTTTGTAAAACCATGCTGAGATTCGTTGATTAATTTATGCTTTTCAAGGTGGCTACGAACTGCCTCGGCAATTATTGATTCCATAAATTTTCCCACTATGGAGGTTAGACTTATTGGTCTATAGTTCGAAGCTAAGGACCTGTCACCTGTTTTGAAAATAGGTATCACATTTGCCATTTTCCACTTATCTGGCACCATGCCAGTTTGTAGTGATATGTTGAAAAGATTAGCCAAAGGTGTGCTAAGCTCCTCTTTACATTCCTTTAGAACCCTTGCATACAGTTCATCAGGGCCTGGGGATTTGTTAGGTTTTAATTTATCTATTTGCCTAAGGACCCATGTCACTTGTGACCCTAATAGTGCACAGTTTATTATCGTCCTGTTCTACATAAATTTATCATTACTGGAATATCGCTGGTATCCTACCTGTGTAAAAACTGAGAGGAAGTATGTGTTAAAAATTCTACACATTTCCTTATCACTGTCAGTGAGCTGACCCGAGGAACTTTTGAGTGGGCCTATCTTGTCCCTGATCTTACTTCTGTATACCTGAAAGAATCCTTTTGGGTTAGTCTTCGATTCTCTTGCAACTTTAACCTCATAATCTCTTTTTGCTTTTCTAATTCCCTTTTTTATTTCTCTCTTTAACTGAATATAATCGATTTCTCAATTGCCCCTCTCCTCTTTTGATTTGCCTATATATGCCTCTCTTTTGACCAATCAGATATTTTAATCTATTGTTCATCCATTTAGGATCATTTTTGTTTGATCTGATTTCCCTATTTGGAACATAATTTGACTGGAGCAGCTAGAACTATGCCCTGGAAAGCATCATATCGGCAACCATCACCACCTACCTGACCCTTAGTCAGGTCATTCCAGTTCAGCCCACCTAAGTAATTTTTCAGTCCTATGAAATCAGCCAAGCGAAAGTCAGGGACGGAGACTTGATTGCCATTATTAGGGGAATTCCATGATATATTAAAACTGAGTGATTTGTGATCACTTTCCCCAAGCTCATCATTAACCTCAAGATTATTAATTAGTGTTTCCCTACTGGCAAGAACCAAGTCAAGGAGGTTATTTCCCCTAGTTGGCTCTGTCACAAACTGTTTTAAAAAACAATCCTGGATCGTATCATTATTCCAAGTATTATTTCCCCTGTTATGTAGAATGCTGATTAAGTGGCGTGTAAGTGGTAGGAAGGTGGAGAGATATCTCGCTCCCCTCCCCCAGTAATATCTCGCTTCGCCCGGCATTGAAAACCCGTCATTCGCTTGTGAGCCGAACCTGCTACCCAGTTGTCCCGCACAACCAAGTTTTGGCTGATGGTAAAGGAATGGTTACTTAGTAAAGTTAAAATCGTGTTCTTCACTACCACTTTATAAAAATTAGATGCAAATAAAAAAAAGGCTGGCGTGTGTTTTACTAAAGCTCAATTTATCTTTAAGTGGACGGCTTCCGCTCACCGTTCTTGTCGTCGAGGTCATCTGCGTCGGAGAGGCAGTCGTCCTTGTCGTCGCGGTCGTCCCGGGGCGTCGGGGCGTCACTGAGGTCGTCCCGAGAGTCGCTCTTACTGCTCAGGTTGAGTGCGTCGCTCTCACCGTAACCTGTAGACGTGAGAGACGTCAGCACACACAGCGTGTTGTGAGGTGTTGTGGGGTGTTGTGAGGTGTTGTGGGGTGTTGTGAGGTGTTGTGAGGTGTTGTGGGGTGTTGTGAGGTGTGAGGTGTTGTGAGGTGTTGTGAGGGCTATTGTGAAGTGAGGTGTTGTGAGGGCTATTTTGAAGTGAGGTGTTGTTGCGAGGGATATTGTGGTGTGGCGAATGAAAGATGTGGAGGGGCGAGGATTTAATGGAGGGACGAGTAAAGCCATTTTAATATGAATCTTTCACAAATAACCCGCACATAGAATAAAGAAGCTTATGACGACGTTTCGGTCCGAGTAGGAACCGAAACGTCGTCGTGACTTTCTCTCTCCTATTTGTGTATTGTTCCAGTCACGATATTGTACCTTTTTATTTCTTCCACATGACTCGTGTTGCAACTCATCCTTGCAAATTCTGTGCGCGTTTCTTGCAAAAAGTTTGCTAGGTTTAGTTTACTCAGGTTTAGTTAGACTAGATTATCCTCCGTCAATAAAAAATCAACCAATTATAATGTACCATAGCACCAGTAACTAAAATAAAAGGTAATAAAAAATTCTGACACGCTCACGAAACTGGGACTAGGAAGTTAAGAGTCAGATAATTAGTGTTGACTCGTTTCAATAGTCACCCATTTGACTGTCTTAGTAACACTGAAACAGTGTCTGTTATTAACTGCATGGGCTGCTTGTCTTAGCTTGCCTACTCTGAGTCTGACAGTCTTGCATCTCCCTGTCAGTACATAAGAAAGAAGGAACACAGCAGCAGGCCTACTGCCCTATGCTAGGCAGGTCCAATTCTCCCACTGGCTTAAGCCAATACCTTGACCTAGTGAGGTCAGACACGTCACTTAAGGGAGGAGCACAGCATTCGATCTAGTAGCTCAAACTAGTCAGGTCCAACTCACACCCACCCACACCCATTCATGTAGTTATCTAACCTATTTTTAAAACTACGCAACGTCTTAGATTCTATAATGGTACTCGGGAGTTTGTTCCACTCATCCACGACTCTGTTACCAACCAGTGCTTTCCTATATCCTTCCTGAATCTGAATTTTTCCAATTTAAAACCATTGCTGCGAGTCCTGTCTATGTTAGATAATTTTAGCACGCTATTTACATCCCCTTTATTGATTCCTGTTTTCCATTTATATACCTCAATCATATCCCCCCTAATTCTATGCCTTTCTAGAGAGTGCAGATTCAGGCCCCTCAGTCTATCCTCATAGAGAAGATTCCTGATACATGGGATCAACTTCGTTATCCTCCTTTGTACGTTTTCCAGTTGCGTTTGTAAAACGTAGCAACCAAAATGACATATTTATTAGAAACGTTCGGCCTGGAACCATAGATCAAGGTGATAAGGTCCCAGCCGAAACTTTTTATTAATTATCTTATGTGCGTATCTGTACTTTTAAACACTTTCGTTTTCCTTGGTTTTGATTACTCTAATTTCCGCGTGCAATCTTTCTTTGCTATAACTTTCACCAAAGCTGAATTAGATTTTTAAATGCCTCTTTAACTCAAAGACTACATTGACGTTGCAGACAACTCTGCTTCTCTTTTTATCACTTCTTCTACTGACTCAAGATTCTGTTAGCCTTTTTGCGAACACTTATGCACTCCTCTTCTCTTGGTATCTCATTACTGCTCAACCAGAACTCCTAAATCCTTTTGATTTAATTCCTTTTCAGCATATAACTAAGTTAGTAAGTGGTTTTAATCCTTACTTATCCTTTCTCTCCTCTGGTTTATCTCTCTCCGTTCTTCTGGATCTACTCCTCCCTCTCTATCCTTCTCTCTTATAAATCATGTCTGCTCTCTCCTTCTCTCATTCTCATACACATCTATGTATTTATTTTCTAACTAGTGAAAAGTGGTTGCTTGATGGGGTTTTAATCCTATCGACTATACGAAGGTTAGTCCCTTGAGGTTTATTTCTCCCAGTGTGTATATACGTTGAGAGGAATAACCCTCCCAGTGTATATACCTTGCCTGGTTAGTAAAGAACATGGTTTGGCGTTATTGTTATTATAATCATGGGGAGCGCTAAACCCGTAGGGATTATACAGCGCCTGTGGGGAGGGGGGAATGGAAGGTATTTAGGCTCCATTCATGAAACTGGAACAGAGATCCAATTCCCTAGATCAAAAGCCCCTCACCAACCTCAAGGACGCGGTTTGGCAGCATTAAGAAATGGTATCTAGTGGACATTAAATTGTCGTTAAAAGACCAGAGGAATTATTGGACATTAATTAATGGTATTTAAGCCAGACCGGAAGTTTTCGGGTCACCCACATGCGATCCGGCACGGTCTGCCATTCACAGGTGGTCTGCCATTCACAGGTGGTCTGCCATTCGCAGCCGGTCTAACACTCACAGCTGGTCTGACCAACATAGCTGGTCTGCTACACAGCTGGTATATCACGCACAGCTGGTCTACCACACACAGCTGGTCTACCACACACATCTGGCCTGCCACACATAGCTGGTCTGCCACACACAGCTGGTCCGCCACACACAGCTGGTCTAGCACTCACCATTGGTCTTGTGCGGAGAGACTGGTCTGTCTGTGTGTTCCTCTCGCTCCAGGCCCAGCACGCGGTCTGCGCGGCTACGGTCTTCACGTATCCTGCGGGGAGACACATCACGTCAACACGGAGATACAGGTGATAGGAAATTAAAGACACATACAATAAAGATAAGTCGTCATAAACAACGGGGATTCGAACCACTGGGGCTATTGCTTCATGCCTGGACTACGTTTCGACTCCTCGTCCGACATTTTGTTTATTCATCGACACATATGTATAGTTTATGGCATTTGTTAAAGTCGAAAAGTGTCTGACACCAGTGTCTACAATTCTGACACAGAGGCATTTATGTGTCACGCGCTGGAGGCTCGATCCTCCGTCAGCGGACCGTGATATACACCTGTCCTCCCTTCCCCTTGGAAAGAAAAAAAAAGGAGGGGAGGGGAAGGTTTCCTCTTGTTCCGAGGAACCGGGGCTACCTTCCACTCCCACGGATTAAACCTGATTTTCTTTTATACCAACCCCCCTCCTCCCCAAGGTGCTCAATAAACCTTACTAGTTTAGCGCTTCCCCACCAATGTAATAATCTCATTCCGGCTATGATTTGGAAATGCTAAGCCCGTAGGGGGATATTTAGAACTTGAGGGGAAGGGGAAATGAGACAAAAATCTGGCTCGATTGAAGGTCACAATAGATCAAGTTCCTCGGGACAAGAGCCCTTTACTGGAATCATGGCTAACCCCCCCCCCCCCCATTTAATGTTACAAAGAGAACCAATGTTCATCCAATGCAGTGCATCCAATACAGCCAAAGTTCGGTTCAAAATACATTGTTTTTTGTCGACAGTTAAAAGTTATATTTGTTCAAGAGTGAGATGGAGGTGCACCGACAGAAATATTAGCTTGACAAAGCTCCTGGAGAGCGAAACGTTGCCACAATAAAATATCACATTAGTTGCACTTGTGTCCTTTTACTTTACATATTGTCGGTAATTCTACCAACATTATTACAATAATATTAGCTGGGTCTGTGACAGCTGTCTGCCTCTAAGGCTTGTTTGTTCATAATAGATCTGTGTCAGCTGTCTAGTGCTGAGATTTGATTGTCTGTAATAACAGCTCTGCGACAGTTCTGCCTACTGCCGAGGCTTTGCTTGTGCGTAGCAACAGTTGTGGCACTGGCGGTGGTGGTGGTGTTGTAAGGGGGGTGTGAATTTGCTGCTGTTTGTGTTAGTGTTGGTGGGGGAGGGGGTTTTGTTGCTGCTGTTGTTTGTAGTGATAGGGGTGTGCAAGAAAGGTATAAAATACCGACAATATAAAAGTTAAGACACATGTGCAACATGTGGATATCTTTATTGTAGACGTTTCGCCATCCAGTGGCTTTATCAATACAGATTCTAGGACATAATAGGAAGACAGTAGAACTATATACAAAAGATGAGGTAATCAGTCCCTCGGCCTTGGAGTTAGTGTTCACAGCATCGTGGTGGAGGAGAATCTGGAGCAAAGGCAAGAAGACTGGCGGTTATATAGGCGTCAGTGGATAGGGACGGGCAGCAGACGAGGGCAGTCACTGGTAGGCGGGATTCCCCAGTGGAAGTAGGTCCTTCCCAAAGAGATGGGTTAGTTGCAGCAGCAGACTGCCCTCGTCTGCTGCCCGTCCCTATCCACTGACGCCTATATAACCGCCAGTCTTCTTGCCTTTGCTCCAGATTCTCCTCCACCACGATGCTGTGAACACTAACTCCAAGGCCGAGGGACTGATTACCTCATCTTTTGTATATAGTTCTACTGTCTTCCTATTATGTCCTAGAATCTGTATTGATAAAGCCACTGGATGGCGAAACGTCTACAATAAAGATATCCACATGTTGCACATGTGTCTTAACTTTTATAGTGATAGGGGTGTTGTTACTAATGTTGCTGCTGCTGTTGCTGCTGCTGTTGCTGCTCTGTTTGTGCTATTGATGATGGTGGTAATGGTGCTTTTGTTACTGGTGTTGTTGTTGTTTGTGATGCTATTGCAGAAGCTGCTGCAGCTGCTTCTCTGCAGTTGCTGCTGTCCCTGGGTCTTAACTGGTTATGACTACTTAGTAAAGATTATTTCAGTAACCTGAACTCTCACTCTCTCTCATTCTCTCTCTCTCTCTCTCTCTCTCTCTCTCTCTCTCTCTCCTCCCCTAATATACCTCTTCTTCTCCCCTTTCCTCTGTAGGTTACAAGAAAGAAATGGTAACGGAGGCAAGAATAATCAATTAAGCAGAGAAGACTGTATACAGACGAGGATTGGCATAGAGCGACAAGCCTAATGGGATGTTGGCCCAGATAGACAGAGTGAGCAAGGGTTGGAGGGAGTCTGTCTATTGTTCTAACTCTTCCCATGTTTGTTATCGTGTTCTTCACCATGGAGGAGGGGGGGGGAAGAGCACTCATTAACAGCCGTGGGCGTCGATGGTGAAGTGCGCCGGAGAGACAGGTCCATGTCGATACAATTAATACAAGCCAGACTATAAGCCAAACTTCAAGCCAGAGTAAGCCAGTATGAAGGTAGACAAATTTCTTTCACGGTAACTCTTTTTTTTTTTTAGTGTTGTACAGCGTTCATTACTGGGGGTCTAACACGTATATTTAATTAATTTAATTACACGTCTATAAAGGTAAACATCGCAGTGTTTGATCGATACAAAAATAAATATCAAATGTCGAACATCAGTGTTCGAAAGTCTCTCAAATGCCACTGAAAAATTATTCATTGATTTTATAAAAACACTGATGACCAGTTTTTCGACACGAATGCAAAAGTACATTACACAATGTTTTAAGTGCACTACACAATGTTTTAAGTGCACTACACAATGTTTTAAGTGCATACACAATGTTTTAAGTGCACTACACAATGTTTTAAGTGCATACACAATGTTTTTAAGTGCATTATACAATGTTTTAAGTGCACTACACAATGTTTTAAGTGCATACACAATGTTTTAAGTGCACTACACAATGTTTTAAGTGCACTACACAATGTTTTAAGTGCATTATACAATGTTTTAAGTGCACTACACAATGTTTTAAGTGCACATTACAGCAATGTTTTAAGTGCATTATACAATGTTTTAAGTGCACTACACAATGTTTTAAGTGCACTACACAATGTTTTAAGTGCATTATACAATGTTTTAAGTGCACTACACAATGTTTTAAGTGCATTACACAATGTTTTAAGTGCATTTACACATGTTTTAAGTGCACTACACAATGTTTTAAGTGCACTACACAATGTTTTAAGTGCACTACACAATGTTTTAAGTGCATTATACAATGTTTTAAGTGCACTACACAATGTTTTAAGTGCATTATACAATGTTTTAAGTGCACTACACAATGTTTTAAGTGCACTACACAATGTTTTAAGTGCATTATACAATGTTTTAAGTGCACTACACAATGTTTTAAGTGCATTATACAATGTTTTAAGTGCACTACACAATGTTTTAAGTGCATTATACAATGTTTTAAGTGCACTAACAATGTTTTAAGTGCATTACACAATGTTTTAAGTGCATACACAATGTTTTTAAGTGCACTACACAATGTTTTAAGTGCATTATACAATGTTTTAAGTGCACTACACAATGTTTTAAGTGCATTATACAATGTTTTAAGTGCACTACACAATGTTTTAAGTGCATTATACAATGTTTTAAGTGCATTACACAATGTTTTAAGTGCACTACACAATGTTTTAAGTGCACTACACAATGTTTTAAGTGCACTACACAATGTTTTAAGTGCACTACACAATGTTTTAAGTGCTATACAATGTTTTAAGTGCATACAACAATGTTTTAAGTGCATTATACAATGTTTTAAGTGCATTACACAATGTTTTAAGTGCATTACACAATGTTTTAAGTGCACTACACAATGTTTTAAGTGCATTACACAATGTTTTAAGTGCACTACGCAATGTTTTAAGTGCATTACACAATGTTTTAAGTGCATTACACAATGTTTTAAGTGCATTACACAATGTTTTAAGTGCATTACAAAATGTTTTAAGTGCACTACACAATGTTTTAAGTGCACTACACAATGTTTTAAGTGCATCTACACAATGTTTTAAGTGCACTACACAATGTTTTAAGTGCACTACACAATGTTTTAAGTGCATTACAAAATGTTTTAAGTGGCACTATCACTAGATGTTTTAAGTGCACTACACAATGTTTTTAAGTGCATTACACAATGTTTTAAGTGCACTACACAATGTTTAAGTGCACTACAAATGTTATTAAGTGCACTACAAATGTTTTAATGTGCATACACACAATGTTTTAAGTGCATTACAAAATGTTTTAAGTGCACTACACAATGTTTAAGTGCATTACAAAATGTTTTAAGTGCATTGCAAAATGTTTTAAGTGCTTACAAAAATGTTTTAAGTGCATTACACAATGTTTTAAGTGCATTACAAAATGTTTTAAGTGCACTACACAATGTTTTAAGTGCATTACAAAATGTTTTAAGTGCATTACAAAATGTTTTAAGTGCATTACAAAATGTTTTAAGTGCATTACACAATGTTTTAAGTGCATTACACAATGTTTTAAGTGCACTACACAATTATATACTGGAGACAGAGGAAGAAGGGGAGAGGATATCATGAGGGGATCAGTCTCTTAAGAGGAATATAACTGATATGATGGTTAATGTGACTGATATGACTGTTAATGTGACAGACGTGATTGTTAATGTGATTGATATAACTGTTAATGTGTCTGATATAACTGTAAATGTTAATGTTAATGTTGATGTGACAGACATGATTGTTAATGTGATTGATATAACTGTTAATGTGTCTGATATAACTGTAAATGTTAATGTTAATGTTGATGTGGCAGACATGATTGTTAATGTGATATGATTGTTTGTAAAAATGATGTGATTGTTAATGTGGTTACTTGACTGTTAATGTGATTGATATGACTGTTAGTATAAATGATATGGTTGTTAATGTGACTGATATGACTGTTAGTATAAATAATATGATTGTTAACGTGACTGATATGAGTGTTTGTATAAATGATATGATTGTTAAT